AAAGTCTGCAGGGCTATCTTCCTTGGTCAAAAGAACCAGGTCTGCCTTGAAGTCCAGAAAAGTGAAAACAGTGGAAGAAGAAGAATGGAGTGGAGAAGAAAAAGAAGAAGAATATGATGCTGAGAAGGACAAGATGGTTAAGTTTGGGAAGAGAACCATCTTGAAAGGTAAACTCCTCAAGGACTTGGAAGAGGAAGGTATGTTGATGCTGCTGGAGAAGTTACAAGTGCATGGTTGGAAGGACATGGTCCTTCGGATGGGTGGAAAGCTTGCCAGAACTGAGATTGTGGAGTTTATGATAAATTATGAGATCAAAGATGGTAGGGTCACCAGTGTGGTAAAGGGGGTGATAGTGGGTTTTGATGACAAGGAACTGGAAGAGATTTTAGGTGTATCTGTTGCAGGGTACAATGACTACAAGAAGCTCAAATGGCCAAACCTAGAGAATCTCCCTACTGCCCTTGCCATTACAAGAAAGTTAGGTGACAATGATGAAGAGCTTGAGCCCAAGGCTGTGTACAAAAGTGAGATGAAGCCACCCCACAAAGTGCTGTTCGAATTTGTTAACAAAGTTGTCCTACCTAGGCAGGAAATGAGGTACATTGCCACATTCATGGACCCGGTCCTTATGGAATGTTTGGACAGTGTGAGGCAAATCAATTGTCCTGGATTTATTATTCAGCTTCTTGATAGGGTTCTAACTGGCACCAAAACTCATGCCATACCCTATGGATTTATTCTCACGGTTGTACTTGCACACTTCAAGGTACCCATCAAGAAATGGGAAGTTGGTACTAGCAAGGATCACTTTGGGGAAAATACTCTGATTGCTTGTGACTTTGAAGTCCACACCACTCTCAAAGAACCTGGTTCATCCAAAAAGGTACTTGTGAACAGCAAAGTGCGAGCCTCGGTACAAGAAACTGGGGCTAAGGATGCTGAAATTGAAAGGCTGAAGAAGAGGTTGGCAGAAGTAGAGACTGAGAGAGATGCTCTCAGAGCTAAGCTGGCAAAGGAAAAGGAGAAGAATGATGGCATTCTTCATGACATGCTGAAACTGCCTCAAGCCAAGAACCAAGAACCTCGTCCTTCCGAGCCTTAAGCCTTCCTAGCCTAGTTAGACCAACTAGTGACCCGGATGGGATTTTTTTCTTTTGCTCATGATCCAGTGTTTTCTATTTCTCTTTATGCATGTGGATGACTAAGTATCAATGATAATTAACTATTTTTATGCTCTAACTGTTTGTTGATGCTTCTTAGATGGATAATATCATTAGATTGATAAATGATGCTTGACTCCATGATTGCATTTGAAGTATCCCAATGGCCATGGGTGATTTCTATTAAAATCTGGTTATCTAACATAATTTCTATGCAACTTTTTGATGATGCCAAAAGGGGAAAGATAGGTTGTGGTTTTACTTTGGACTATGATGTTTATAACCTAATGAACCCGGTCCTTGATGATTTGTGACTTTAAAATGAAAAGTGTTCTAACATTGGTTTGATGTTAAGCTAAAGTGACATAGGGCCTATGCTTATGAAAAGCACAAAGTTTGTCATCATCAAAAAGGGGGAATTTGTTGGCCCAAGTAAAGTTTGTTTTGATGATTGACAAAGGAAATCCAACACGAACCAGGTCCATACATAGTGTACACAGACACGGGCAGATTCGAGCATAAGGGATGCACGTGAATGAGATAAGCTTAAGTTGTTATATATGATATCTCCTGATCGAAAAGGTTGTATAAATGATAAGGAGAAGGACAACTTACTCGAAGAGAACTTTATCCAAGATAAGGGAGGAGTTAGAAATTGAAGATAACTAGAACTCTTCTACCAAGAAAGAGTAGCATTAGAACTCTAGTTATTTCCCATTCTACTAACTCTATATATTGCAGGACGTTCTCATTCTATAGGTACGCACAAACGTTGAAGTTAAACGTGAGTTGACAGTAAAATAGCAAGGCATTTTGCAAGCAATTCTTGTGTGATTCAAGTGTGTGAACCTGAAGCTACATGAACTAGATAGAAGAACCAGTTCCAAGTGTCTGTCTCTTATTCTAGTTCAATTGTAGTAGGTATTTTCAAGTTGTACCTTTCAGCTTTATCTAGAAGCAATTGTATTAGGTACTCTGAGTATTCAAGTTAGAGTTAACTTAAAGTTGTCGCAACAGTTAGAGGCTGGTTGCCACAACGGGATTAGAGTTAATCCTTAAATTTACAAAGAGTTTTGTAAATGCTGTTTTGGCTCAGTGATTTAGTATAGTGTTGGGAAAAATCCTATTGAGTAGTAGGTCGTAGTTTTTTCACCTTTTGAGCCTGGTGTTTTTCATGTAAAAATACTTGTGTTCTTTACTTTTCGCATTTACTATTTCCGCAACAGTAGTATAAGGAACACTTAGAAGAACCAGGTCCTTCTATAATCAGTGCACGCAAAAATTGAACACCACACAAATCACCCCCTCTTGTGTGGTATTGAAGTATAAAACATCACTACCCTCATAGCCTTTTGTGATTTATCACTAACTATCATAGCATACACTTGATTCATTGAAGGTAGTGGTGTCATAAGAATAATTTGACTCCTAACTTGTAGATAATTATCATTCAGCCCCATTAGAAACTTGTACAGCTTTTGTCGTTGGAGATAGACTACAAATTCCCTTGGCTTATCACATTTACATCCAGGTTGTGGCACTAAAGCCTTTAATTTAACCCACAGCTCTTTCAACTTTGTGAAGTAAGTTGCTACAGAAGTTGTTTCTTGGGTTAGTCTTACAATTACTTGATGTAGACTGAAAGACCTTGATCTATCCACCTTATTGAACCTTTCTTTCAGACCTTCCCAAACACTTGAGCACTATCAGCATACACCATTCCTCCCAACATATTACTAGAGACAGTATTCATTATCCAAGATTGAACTATAGCATTACACTTTCCCACTGGTACCAGAATTCTTCCCTAAAGTTTTCTTTCTTCTAAGAACCATCAACAGATCCCAACTTGTTTCTTCCTAGTAAAGCTATTCTCATATATTTGCTCCATTGAGAGTAATTTTTGGATCTAGTTAATTGTAAAAATATAAGGGAAATGTCACTCACATCGGTTGAATGCAGATACAAGGGATGATTATGGTCCATGGTTGGTATGATTCCTGGTATAGACTGAGTTCTATTTGCAGCAACTTGAGTCACAGATGGTATGGTTCAAGTTGTGGTTCCTAGATTGAACTGCTTTTCAGAATTGCAATTAACCAACAATACTTGCTTTGATATAGATTGCCAGAATGCAGATTTGAAGATAGATTTGACAGAATTGGAAATTTCAAGAACTATAGATTTTGCGGAAGTAATTGGATTCTACTACTCTGATACCATGTAGAAATTCAACCATACACCTTGCTCACAGTAAGATTTAGAGCTGATAACAACAAGAAGAATGAAGAATGTAGAATGTAACAGTTAGAGAAAGAAGAAGAAGAAGGAAGAGAAAGAGAAACATAGATATGATCGAGTGAGATTAAAGAGAACTTTCTTCATTAATTGATTTCTGAGTATAGCTACATGTATGTATAGAATCAAAAGATTCACAGCAGCTCTAAGAGTATTGCTACTAACTGTAATCGTGTAACTAACTTTATAACTGACTTTTAACTAACTTAACTAACTTCTTGAACATGTAAGATGAGTTAATATTACAAGTGTCTATACTTCTTATTTTCTTCCATTATACTCAATAAAATGCATTAGTTCCAACCTTATTCAAAATTACAATCCATGAAAAGAAGCTTTAACATTAAGTAGAATATTGCTTTCAGGTTTTCAACGGACAAGGTTTGGAATATTTTAGTCTTAAGGAAAAAGAATAAAGATTTTGTACAGATGTCTAGACAAACTGCAATATCAACTAGCACCTTTGGTCAGCTTGCGAAGGGTGAAATACACAAATAGCCCTCAAAAGTTGATGATCTTGAATTTTTATTCCCGTTTCCCCTATGGATGGAACTTCAAGTTTAACAAGTGTTGTATCTCGTTTATCCATAGGGCAACACTTTTAACTTTTGATCTTGAAGTTCTGCCCATGAGGCAAACGAGGGTCAAAAGTTAAAACCACCCCAAAAAGTATAATATTTCTGTATTTTTTGGTTTTCAAGGCCTAGTCTTTATTGATTAAACAATCTTGGGCTATCTTCCAATCATTCACCACTAAAACTTGATAGGCCCCAAATTTTACTGTGAAGATTGGCCCATTTCTGTCTGCCATGAGGCCCAAAATTTTGTGAGGCAGCTGAGACCCACTGAAAAGGTGTAGATGGCCGATGAGAGGCCACGAACCAGCAACTTTAGGTGGTGTTCTGCTGCTAATATTGCTTTTGCTACTGATTCCTAAAGAGTAAAGGCATGTAAATGAAGTAGAGAAAACTAAACGTTATAGCACAGGGTAATGGCAAGAGAGAAATCCATTGCGTTGGATATGAGAGGAAGAACTCTTAACTAAATGACTAACTAGTTATGGAGGGGATTGTTCTTATATAGACTAAAAATTATGGTAGATTTCACAGTCCACGTCAGAGTGAAACTAAGGTTATTAAGCTATTGAAACATGTTGTAATGGATCCAATATCCACGACCAAATACAGAAATAACAGATTGATAATTATAGTAACTGTATTCTTTCTTTTCCAGTAATTCCTTGACATTGACACTTGTACCTCAACCTGGGTCCCAATTGTAGTCTAATAACCTCTCATTGGGCTGGTTAATACGACTCATGAGTAACACATTCCCAAGCCCAATCCATTCGGTTTTGTCTACCTTGTTATGTCATAGCACATGTGACTTTAGCATCGCGGTATAACAATTGGCAGAAAACTTACATTGACTTTTGATGTATCAACTAATCAAAATGTTTTGTTAAAAATTATAGCGATGTAGTTACGCTAGAGAGAAAATGAGAGCAACGTCGTCAGACAGAAACTTTTGAAAAATACTTCAGAAGCTAATAAGCATATATATCCTTTCGAGCTGAACGGATCCAAAGTAAAATTGGGAGGGTAAAGTATACCTTTGGTCAGAGTTACAACTTGAAATTTCCAGTGCAGGACTCTAAAAAATTGAATGTCATCTGTAACATGATGTGAAGACTTGTACAATTACACATGTAATGTATGACGTTTGAAGTCTTCTTATTATTTTCACATCAATATTACGAACTAAGCATTTCATTCGTAAAGATTGGGAGCCAAGCGCGGAGCGAGGAGAACTTGGAGAGGAGAAGCTTTAAGGATTGTCAATCCAAAGCTCTCACTCATATCAATTGGTTCATCCGAAGGCCTTTTAAGTTCAAACCCCTGCAACAAACCAGCTAATACAAAGGGCACAGCTTGAAGGGCAAAAGAAATTCCAGGGCACATTCTTCTTCCACTACCAAATGGTATCAACTCAAAGTGATTTCCTCTCACATCGACATCCTTATGTGTCGTCAAGAACCTCTCTGGCTTAAACTCATCAGGATTTGGCCATAAATCTGGATCACAATGAATCTTCCAAATGTTCACTAACAAGCGAGTGCCTTTTGGTATATCATAGCCACTAATAGTGCAATCCTCCATCGACTCGTGTGGTACAGAGAGCGGTGCAGCTGAATATAAACGCAATGCTTCTTTAACAATAGCTTGAAGATAGACTAAGTTCTTGATATCTGAATCTTGTACACATCTGTTCTTCCCAACGTGAGCATCCAATTCATCTTGGGCCTTTTTTAGTGCTTGGTAGTTGTTTAGTAGTAAAGATAAAGTCTATGTTAGAGTTACGATCGTGGTGTCTGTACCTGCCGCTAGCAGAGCCTACCAACCCAAACTCAACAATTTCAGCAATAAGCTACACATTTGAGCACAACAAGGGACTACAATAGAATATTAATGACAAATTTATAGATGTTCTTTTCGTAGTCAGAAGACAATGAATTGATGATTAATGAAAAACGATTTTGATTTTATACACTAACAATGAAAACAAAAGTTTTATGCTGTTGATACAAGGAAAATGGTTAAATTTGTCAATGTACTTTCCGAAATTGCTCAATTATGTCCTCTGTTGCACTTTTGACTAAGAGGCTATTTGGATTGGCTTATTTTACGTGCTTATTCGTTTTTAAGCACTTTCCTAGTTTTTGAGGTGTTTGACAATGATAAAAAGTGCATAAAATCACTTAGTTTTAGGCATTAAAAATACAAAAATAAGCCAAAAGCCAAAAGTTATGGTATTACCAACTCATGACTTTTGACTTTTAGCCTATAAGTTAATCCAAACACCTCTTACCCCATTAGGAATAAGACTCACTGTTGCTCTTGACCTTTGGTTCATATTCAAAATGGTTCATATTCAAAAGTTGAGAGGTAAATTTAAACTCTTTTTATCAAAGAATTTGAACAAGTGAACTCCACCAACGCAAGCAAATACTCCCTCCGTTCCAATTTATGTAAATCCTGACTGGGCACAAAGTTTAAGAAGAGAGAAAATACTTTTGAACTTGTGGTATAAAATGAGGCACATAAATTTTGTGTGACTATAAATCATTGCATAAAAGTAAATTATTTTCAAATAAGGAAATGAGTCATTATTTTTAGCACGGATTAACATGAAAATAGATTCACATAAATTAAAACGGAGCGAGTACATGATAATTTGCTACCGACATGGTTATAATTAGACCAAAAGTCTGACATAGGGCAGGCTTGAACAATTCCGAAAAGTACACGAACGAATTTGGACATTTTCCCCTTGCTATAATTTAAACCGATTTTAGCATATTTCTTTAATTCTTAGTCAAGTCATATACTCATAGCTGGTTAGAAGTGGTTTTAAGAGGGTAATTAAGAAACGTACCATACATGTAGCTTTGATAGAGGTATCAGCATCAAATCCAGGCAAATCTCTGTTTTCACAAATGGACAACATTACATCCATAAAATCTTCTTCCTCTCCAGATTTAATCCCTTTAGAATCCCTCCTCCTTTTATGTTCTCCTAACCATTCTTCAACAACAGAGTCGATTTCTTTAGCAACTTCTTTCATTGCCTTCTCATGACCTCCTATATCTAGCCACCTTAAATAAGGTAAAAAATCAGCAACAACAGTAGCCCCCATCAATTCAAAAAATCTTCTTATTGCTTTGTGAGCTTTATTTATTCCTTCTCCTTCAGTACATTCTTTTCCAAATAACATCTTCACCATTGTGTTCATAATTACATTCCCTAACCATTCCTTCATTTCCATTTTCACTGCACCGTTTAAACTACTACTCTTGTTCTTCAACCAAAATTCATAAGACTCTTTAATAGCTGATTTTACTTCAAATTCTCTTATGTGTTTGAGCACCTCAATTCGCCGAGTGGACAGAAATTCAATAGTTGCTATTTTCCTTATCTCTCGCCAATAAGGTCCGTAGGGAGCAACCCCAAACATGGCATGGTTGTAGCCTATGATCTCTGAAGCCAAGGATTTGGGCCGATTTGCAAGGGCCAAATCGTTGGTTGTGAAACATTCTTTTGCTATTTTGGGATCACTAACCACAACAGCTTTGTATACTCCAAGCTTCAACCCGAAAATTGGCCCATATTTTTCTGCCATTCGAGCTAAGACTTTGTGAGGTAACTGATCAGATTCAGATCCACTGAGAAGGTGGAGATGGCCAATGATAGGCCATGCTCCGGCAGCTTCAGGTACCCTTTTCCTCTGCCCATTGTTTCTTTTGGTTGAGAGAAATTGGTTGTAAATAAGGAAGAGGAAAACTAAGGAGCTAGCTAGTGTAATGGCAATTAAGACGAAATCCATGGCTAACTATATATTTTGCGTATGTAACCTGTTATAATCTTTATATTCAAAAGTATACTCCAAAAAAGGAACGGTGGTGGAGTTTATTATATTTATAGATGGATGAGAATAAACAGTAAATTCAAATATATCACGTTATCTTCAATTCAAGATTATAATATTAGAAGCTGAAATTGCTAAATTAAACTCCTCTAAGTTTGTTGTATATATACTGCCATTAAATAATACATAAAACATTAGGAAACCAATGAAAGGACAATGGCGGTTGTTTTAAGTTAAACTATCTGATATTCTAATCCAAATTTACTGTCCAAATAATTTACTTTTGCGCGTAGGGCTCATCTAAGGAGGAATCACTCCTAATTACTAGTAAATTATCTTCTAATCTCAGATCTCAAAGTTGGAAATTTTTAATTAAGAGTGAATGAATTTTATTTATCATGTGCTACTTGTAAATGAGAGAGCTTATGCCAAAAATTGCCAAGGAAGAATTGTCCCCAGTCGCTCACAATTGAATGTTGCATTATATGCGATGAACATATCAGTTATTGCCAATGTAAATATTTTTCTTTACCTTTTAAAATATTGTGTGTAAATAGAATGATAGTCAGTTTTTTTGGGTGATCGAGAATGTTACGTAACATTGACCACCACGTCTGACTATTGTGTTTGATCTGTCATAGTCAGAGGCGAATTTAAAATATTTAGTGCATTACAAAATAAAAGAGACAAAAAAAATATTAAGTGAGAATTGATTCTTATTTTTTAAAATATATAATTAAGTATTAAATTAAGTGAACGATTCAATATTTATAAAGCATAAATATCAATATATAATATTAAATTAATTCTAAAAAATACATATTTCACTGAAGGTCCATACATTCACTTACCCCTAGTTTAGCCTATAGATCCGCCCCTAGACTCATAGTCACGTCCCATATCGTAAGTGTTGAAAGTTTGATGTTTTCGAGGAAAAGATGTATTGATCCTATTCCATTCTGGCAGGATTGCGGTCTAGCTAGCATACACCTCTATAAGAAAACAATATTCAATTAATTAACAAATGACAAAATTGCATTGGAAATGCAAACAGTGGTGGCCCGTGGTTGATAGTGAAAGATAACAAAAACAAATGCCATACGTTATCGAATTGGTAAACTCTATTATACATCAATCTGTGGAAGTGTTGATAGATGAAAACATTTGATTATTTAAGGTGTCGGCGATTTCAGTTTTATGGGTTATAAATTTTGAAACGATCGTGTCAAATACTAATAATTAAATTAATAAATTTTTTAATATAAATATACTGTTTGAGCAAAAACTATTGAATTCGATCGAACTCGTAGCTAAGCTTTTAGCTCCGCACCTGATTATCTATCTCTAGCATCTTAATCAATGCTGGCAAAATAAGCCCATATTTTATCAACCCGCCTATATTTTGGTGGGTTGAATGAGTGATATTTGAGTTGGATAAAATTTGGGCTTCAACTCATATTTAACCCGTGAAAATTAGGTATCTATAGGTAAAATTAACCTAAGAGTGGTCACCCAACTTATAAAAATATCCTACAAAAGTCACTTTTTTATATTTATTTAGGACAATAAATTTACTCAACTATTACTTTTTCACTCATAAAGTAAAGAACACTTATTTGGCATGACATAACATACCATGTCATATTATAAAAATATTTTTTAATGATAAAACTCATTTATTCCATGTCCCTTATATCCATTTAACTAATCTACCAAATAAGAATGGGTCTATATTAAATAACAAAATTTAAATTTATAACTAAGTAATTCTTGTTAAAAAGATCGAAGTAACAAAGACTAATTTTTTGACCCATTTTCAAGTTATTAAATTATTTTTATTTTAATCTCAGAAATATCCGTGAGGTAATTAAATAACTGAGTTTGCTCCTATTGTATTTTTATACGGGTAAAATCGGAGGCAAAGTTTTTTCCGATTCTTCGATGAAGGAACAAAGGGTAAACACGACTTGAAGTGATTATAATCGAGGCCAGGAGCCCCTCGTATCGAAACCCGGGAGGAATGAACGATGTACCTGAGATCGGACAAGGTGAAATGACGGACCCGGGCCAAGTATAGCTTCTGGACCTCGGGGTACGCGGTGAACAGTTATGCATGACGAGCAGGAGGCTGAAATATTCGCCCTCAGCCGGATATTACGGCGCGAATCCCGTTCAGTATCAACTGAAGATCAATATTTACCGAAAAAAGAAGATTTTTACCTTTTTTAGACTTGCACTAGGACTGAAATTCTCCTACTATATAAAAGGAAAGGCTTTCTCTATTTTGACACATTGTAACACGCAAATCAAAGCTTTAAAAGTTTATTTTTGTCTTCTAGCTATTGTTCAAGGCATTATTCATTTGTTCTTTTCTTTGCTCGCAACCGAGCTTCTATCGAAGGTCCAATCGAGGAAGAATTCCACTGTTCAATCTAAGATCAGGCTTGGTCATTACATTGTAATTGGTTTGACAATTTATTTTGTCTTTAACTCATTTACCTGTTGTTCTTAATCATTCGTATTATACTAAACCACGTATCTTTTAAACCGCGTACAAATTTAATTGTTACTCATTTTTTGGATAAACAATTTAGCACCCAATGTGGGGCTAAGGATAATAGTGGTGATTTGATATGAATCTCCATAACACACCCTACTTTATGCTTTTTCTTTGAAATTTTGATTCCAGGCTAGCCTAAGGATATCAAACTCTTAGTCTACTCACGGCGAGAATAATAACGTGATGCCTAGTAATGATGTGCTTCCTATTGATCCCAATAGTGTCCTAGCCGCCGACCCGATCGATGCTAACTCGCAGGTGGCCATCAATATCAATTTACCAATTGATCCCGAAAACAGTATATGTGGGGGACTCCGACCAGCGGCTCGCGAAGCGCCCGAGGGTGAAGGTGAGAGGGTAAGCCTTTGGTTGATCTTCTAAATGTTGCAGGCTCAACAAGTGGTATAGCGCAATTGCAGAATTAAAGCCACGCCCCTAACAAGGTCTAACTCGAACAGTCCCGGGAAAACTCGAAGAGACGAACAAGTTATCGTCGAACCGGGTGAGCTCAGACCCGGGGAAACTTCTGAGGTGATGAAGATGCTCGAAGCACTGACAAAGCGGGTGAAGTCATTCGAGAAAAAGATTGAGGCCAACGATAAGAAGGTGGAAACGTACAACTCATGGGTCGATCAGATCCCGGGAGTACCTCCGATATGGAAAGGGCCAGACTCCAAAAAGTTTATTCAGAAGCCTTTTTCCCCCGAGCGCAACACCGAAACTAATCTCGAAGAGGTTTAGAGTGCCCGACATTCCCAAGTATAATGGGACTACGAATCCGAATGAGCATGTAACCTCTTATACATGCACGATCAAAGGAAACGAATTAGAAGACGACGAAATTGAGTCAGTGTTGTTGAAAAATTTGGGGAAACCTTGTCCAAGGGAGCGATAGTATGGTATTGCAACTTGCTTCCGAATTCCATCGACTCATTTATTATGCTTGTAGATGCGTTCGTGAAGGCCTATGCCGGGGCCATCAAGGTAGAAACTAGGAAATTAGACCTTTTCAAGGTCAAACAGAGAGATAACGAGATGCTCAGGGAGTTCGTGTCGAGATTCCAGATGGAACCGATGGATTTGCCACAGGTTGCAGATGTTGGGCCGTTCAGGCATTTACTCAAGGGCTCAACCCCCGAAGTTACGTGGCCTCTCAGCAGCTAAAATAAAATTTGGTGGAATACCTGGCGGTCAACATATCAGAACCGGTGATAGATCTAAGTGCGCCATTGATCAGGAGCCAAGGCCTGTCCGACCGATACCAGCCATGCAATGCATATCAGAGGGGAAATGGATCCGGGCGCCTTGATAAGTGAGAATTTTGACTACTTATTAGCGCATTTTAGCTTTTGTTTTAGTCCAAAAGTGTCTAATTGTATTTCTGAAAACTGATGAAATATGCTTACCTGTAGGAGTATTGGAAAATTAGCCACTACGATAAAATCCAACTCAAGGAGGAGTGATCTGAATAAGGACATAAATCAGGCACAGAAGCTCAAGTGCGGACCGCTGATTTCTATCTGCAGCCGCAGAATGTGAAAAAAAATCAACAGAGCCCCAGTGCAAAGTGCGGACCGCACAATTATTGTGCGGCCGCAGAAGCTACGTAAGAGCCAAAGTACAGAGAGTTTCATTTCAAGCTCAAGAAGAAATGCAGACCGCACAATAAATGTGCGGCCGCAGAAACAGCTATGTGACTGCACTCAGGAAATGTGCGGTCCGCAGAAGAGCCCAGTGCGGCCGCACCCAGAATTGTGCGGACCACATAACATGAGAGATGCGGCCACAATCCAGAATTGTGCGGCCACAAAATCAACTCCTGTCAAGATCTGAAGAGAAGTGCGGACCGCACATATAATTGTGCGGCCGTAGAACTTCCGAAAAGGCAATTTTGTCCGAAAATTTTAGCTTTGTATAAATAGACTACTTTTACGAAATTAGGTCAAGTTTTGAATATTGAAAGTCCTGTAGCCGTTTTTACTTGCCTCTTTAGGTAACTTTAGCTTACTTTGGTGATTTAACATTGGATTTTTATCTTTTAATCTTGCAATATGAGTTTTATCATCTTCTCTTCTTTATTTTCTTCTATACCCATTATGAGTAGCTAGATTTCTAACTAGGGTTGTGACCTAACCCTAGTGTGTAAACCTAATGGGTGTTTGATTTATGACTTGTTTATGGTTGGGTGTTTATTATTTATCCTTGTTCTTGCCTTTAATTGTAAAATTAATGGTTGCAAATATTAGTTTATGCGTATTTGACTTGGTCTCTACTTGAGAAAGAGAGACTTAGTCTAGAAAAACTTGGCTAACAAGAATTTGGGATAAAATCAAGAGATTGATAGTCCCAATTAAAGGGTTGAACCTAGAGATAGTAAAACCCGACCTGAGCATTTTATCAACTATTTTTTTCAATACCCATTTGGACTTGAGAAAGCCAAATTGGAAAAAATCACTCTCTTACCGAGAGGTATTGAGTGGGTATTTGAGTTTTGATTGCTATAATACACCCTGATCAATAAAACAAGCTTTAAAATTTATAACTCATTAGGCAAACACCTAGGTGAAGGTCATACCCCTAGGACTTTTTATATATTTGAAAATCATCCAAAAACAATATTCTCTAGTTTAACATCTTTAGAATTGTAATCCTTAACGTAATTTTAGAAGTAAAAAACAAAATCATATTTGTGAAAGTACAACCAAGATACTTCACGTGCTTTATCCAAATATATACACCTAATTCCATCTCAGCTCCCTATGGTGTTGGGTATTATTATTGCAATAGCCCGTTTCATAACCCCGAATAGAGGTGTGACTTGGACGAGATCAATTTTTGGCGCCGTTGCCGGGGAGCATAAAAACGGATTTAGCTATATATTTGGTTTTGCGTGTGAATTGTCTTCTTTTCCTTCTGTGCTACTAATCTTTTTGGTGAAATAATTGTAGGTGAAACAATGGCTCTCAACAACAATGATCCTTTTGAAAACATGTCTTTGGGGGATGTGGACGTGAAAGATGACCAAGTTGAAGAGATTCCTCTTGAACCTCAAGCAAATAGACAAGGTCGACCATCTCAAGACAACGTTCCTGTTCCACCCCCAAATCCACCAAGAGCGGTTCCACACCGGGTGTTGCCGAATGAAGGGTATG